TCTCTGCCCCTCGATGCGCCACACCCTCCACACACAGGGCCCCTGAGCCCCAGGCGTCTCTGGGCCTGCACCACGCTGGGCGGACTCCCAGCTTACACAAAGAGGGTCTTTGGGGAGAGAATGTGGCTTTGGGGAGGGCTGGGGGTGTCTGCGCTTGTTTTTCCTTCCTGACCCTAAAAATAAGCACTTTCAGCCAACGAATAAAGAGAGAGCTGATGAAAGGAGCTTTCATCTAAGTAGAGCCCAGGAGAAGCCAAAAAAGAAACGAAAAGACTGGGGACAAGACGCCCATTCATCGGGCAGGCAGGGCAGTCCCTGATGGAAGCGGCTGCACTCGCCCCTCTAGGCTGGATGTCAGGAAGGTACAAGGTGCCCGGCTGCAGCACGCACCTCCTCTGTGGATGCAGGTGGTGACCATGAAGGCCCGGCCATCAGCCCTTCCCAGTCCACTGCACCTGCAGGTGCGCAGGATGCAAATGCACAGCAGCCTGTGCGTCTCAGGGGAAGGGTGTTGGCACTGAAGAAAATCAAATCTGCCTTCGCTTTTTATTTTGATGAGTTCATGCTTGCAGCCGTAGTGACTGCCGTCGTCGTGGGGAGTGGGTGTGCGCACAGAGCCCATCTCCATCGCCTCCTGGTGCGCATGATTTATCTCACTTAGCTTAAGGTCTCAGGGTGCATCCACTTCCCGCAAATGACTCAAATGTGTCCTCCTCCCTAGCAGAGCTGTGCTACACTGTGCACCAATGCCACTTGTCTTTAGCCACCCGCTGAGGGACACAGGCCACTTGTAAGGTGTGGCTCTTATGCTTGTGCTGGAATGGTAGGGAGGCAGGAGGAGTGGAAACCCAAGCTGATAAAGGGCTCGAGAATCCTTTTTCAAACCAGGCACACACCTATCATTCTGGCGATATGGGAGGGTAAGTCAGGAGGGTCACAAGTTCAAGGCCAGCTTGGGCAATTGAGTGAGACCCTTTCTCAAAATTGAAAAAAAGTAAAAGGCTTGAAGTGTAACTCACTACAAGGTTCTGGGTTAAATCTTTAGCACTGCAAAAAAAAAAAAAAGAAAAAATCGGGCTGGGGATTTAGCTCAGTGGCATAAGCGCCTGCCTTGAAAGCAGGCAGTCATGAGTTCAATCCCCAGTACTGATAAAAAAGAAAAAGACAAAAAAAGAAAAAATCTATTTACATACACTTATACATATGAGCGCTAACTACTTCTCCGAAGATCTCTCCATCCGCTAAAGGTCAGTCAAGCTCACTGATTCTAGTGAGGACACCTGGTTCTAGAGACCCGCCTGCCAATAGCTGTGTTGCCTACCAGATTTTTACCTTTTCATGCAGGACCTGGAGTTGTCCAAAGAGGGAGCAGACGAATGGATAAGCAAATAGAGTGATGCAAAACCACAAGAGCTGGAAATGAACAGAACAGCTGAATAGGAGCGCCGAGTGGACAGCACTGTCCAGTCCTGGACCTCAGAAGCAGCACTTTCTGTTTCCCCATTTACCATGTGGTGAGGTGAACCAGGAAGCCTTGACTGCGTGTGACCCTGTGTACCTAACTTGTGATTATGAAGCGATGCTCAAGTTTCACAGATGCTTCTTCTGCATCTGTTGAGATGGTCCTTTGATTTCCCAGCCTCTGTCCTATTTCTTTGAAGCAGCATCTCTGTGAAACAGCTGTTCTGAGCCACCTTTGCATCCCTAGGGTGAAGCCACTTCCGTCATCGTGTGTGACCTCGCCGATGGGCTGTCGGGTTCACTGTGTTAGGATCGTGTGCAGGACTTCTGTACATCGGAGAGTGATTCAGCCATAAGGAAGACGGAAATCCTGTCATTTGAGCAACGAGGATGAAAGCCAGACCCAGAGAGACAAATACATGGTTTTTTTTGTTTTTTTGTTTTGTTTTGTCTTTTTCCCGGTACCGGGGATCGAACTCATGACTGCCTGCTTGCAAGGCAGGCGCTTATGCCGCTGAGCTAAATCCCCAGCCCCAACAAATACATGTTTTTACTCACAGGTGGAGACTAGAAAATAAAAGCAGATGAAGAATCTGCCAGAGAGAAGAGGGGCTGCTGGTGGTGGGATGGAGAGGGGCCCGAAGGAAGAAGGGTGAGTGGACCTGGGCAGTGACCAGTGCCCAGTCAGTGCCAGGGCACAGTGAATCCTGTTAACCTGAAAGACGAAAAAGAAGAGTTAAAAGACATAAACAGAGCGACTTGGGTGGCTTGCCCAGCACAGATGGGGCTGTAGGAGCAGGGGCAGGGCCAGGCCCCCTGGAGGACGAGGAGGAGTCAGGCCAGTTCAGGAACTGCAAGGAGAAGGTGGTGGCAGGACTGAGCTCAGAGCCAGGGAGTGAGTTGGGAGGCTCCTACAGAGAAGGAGACGGTTAACTAGGCATGGGGCACACCTGTAAATGCAGCACTCGGGACGCTGAGGCAGGAGGATCGCTACAAGTTCAGTGCCAACCTGAACTGCACAGGGAAACACTGTCTCAAGAAGACAAGAAAAAGACAAAGAAACAAAGGTGGTAAAGTAGAGGAACACCCCACAATGCTCCCAGCTGCCCAGATCCCAGGAAAACAGTCACTCTAATGCCTGGAGGGTGGTGCAGAAAAGTAGCCTTATCTCCCCAGGAAGGAAGTTATGATGCAGACAGGCCTGGAAGAGAATATGCTAAGGAGAGTAAGCCAGTCACGAAAGACAGATGCCCCAGCACTTCACTCCTGAGAGGGACACAGAGTGGCCAGGTCCCGAGAGACAGGAAGCAGCATGGCGGCTGGGGGTGGGGGAGGAAGTTGCTGTTTCATGGGGACAGAGTTTCAGTTTGGGAAAATGACAAAGTCCTGCAGACGGGCAGTGGTCAGGGCCGCCCAGCAGTGTCCACGTGCATGACGGCCCTGGCTACTTGCCTAGAAAGGGTTAAAGTTGAGTTCCTCGCATTTCACCAGTTAAAAATTGTAAACAGTAGGCAGCCTTAACCTGGAAGGCCAGCAAAGGAACCCCATCAGGCTACTGAGGTTCTGGGCACCTTACTGCCTCAGCTTAGCAAAGACTCTGTGTTACAGCTGTTCACTCTTCTGAATCCATTTCATTTCCACGAGTCCCCCTGGGGCCAGCCTCTGGACACTCAAAACCACCACCCACGGCTTCTCGGCACAGGAAGAGCGGCCAATGGGTGGTAGCATACCCTCCACTACTGCTGTCCTGTGCACCCTGTCTGTCCATCAGAGCAGCCCCGTGAGGGAGGACCAAGGTCAGAACAGATAAGACCTTGCCCTGGGCCCAGTGTTTGGGTGGCTTGAGACAAAAATCTAAGATCCTCAGCTCCCACTGGGGCCCCGGAACTTCCTTGAACTTTCCTTAATCTCAAGAGCAGTGGAATTCAAATTCCTGTTCTCAGTTCTGACTCCCAGATTTATTCCCCCAGTCATTTTGGCGTAATACCGCACGGCTCTGCTATGATTCAAATGTTTATATCACCCCAGATTCATATGTTGAAATCCTAACCCCCCCAAGGTGAAGGAGTAGGGGGGGCTGCGGGGAGGTGCTTAGGTGGCCAGGACTCTTCCCTCTGGAATGGAATTAGGGCCCCCCGAGCTGTCCTCTCCGTCCACCACGTAAGAGTGCAGAAGGCTGCACTGGCGGAGCAGAGCCCTCGCTGGGCCCTGAATCTGCCGGCACCTTGATCTCGGACTTCCTGCCTTCAGAGTGTGAGCAATAAATTCGGTTTATGAATTACTCAGCCTGAGCTACCTTGTCACAGCCACTGGGACAGATGAAGATAGTTTCCCGTCCTATCCTGTAACCACAGTGAGCGGCACCAGGCACTGCCACACGTCGGGAACTGGGCGATACTTGTGTTTGTGCAATGGGGACGTGAACAACCCTTGGTGTCACCATGCATTGTGTCACTGGATTCCAAGTGCGGTGCTCTTTCCCCGTTGCTCTTCTGCTCCTTTGTGCGGTCCAGGGCGGTCTGGGGAAGGCAGCTAAGGCTTTTCCTAGGGTTAGAGAGGACACGTCCACATGCCCACTTCTTCACCTGGCACTTCTCCAGTGTCCCTCTCTGCTGACCCCTTCCCTCTGGGCCTCCTACGGGGCTGGGTTTCCAGGCCAACAACATCAACACCAAGAACAACAGCAACCCGACACTTCTGCATACGTCGAGTGTCCCCAGGTGTCTGCTGACTGCAGGAGCCTGGCCTCCCAGATGCTGTCCTATGTCTGGCTCTAAGCCCATGGGGTGAAAAAGGGGCCCAGTCACTACCTGCATCCTCCTTTTCGCCAGCTGCCTTCCCCTGCACCATGGGAAGGAAATGGTCACCTGCTCTTAATCACTCGAACCTAACTGGCTGAGATCAGAGTGAGGGCAGAGAGAACAGAGCTCATTAAACTTGGTCGAATCTTTAATAGCTGTCGAAGGCACCAGCTGAATGACCTCTGGTCCAGTTCGTGCGAAAGGACAGGGCGTCTCCTCACAATTAGAAATAGAATCTTTCCATGGTGGTCAGAGAGCTCCCCGCTCCCCGCATCCCACCCCGCCCAATGCACTTGCCCAGGACAGGCTCCCCTGGGCGCCCCCATCCCACATGTATCACAGGGTCCACCTCAGAGCTCTCATCCAGGAGCCTCTGAAGATTCTGAGTCTCCAGCCAGAAGCTGGAACTAGGCAAGATCCCTCACCTGGGAATCTGTGTTAGAGACCAGAGGTTCTCCCTGTCTCAGTGGGTGGCTGGGGTGTCACCGTGCACTGCTCAGGCCAACAACCTTTTAAAGATTGCACAGAAAGTGGCCTAAATAAAACAGGCTAGTGACATGATTTTTAGGGCTCCAGGAAAGTTAAGAACCCACTAACAGGGGCCAGGATATAGCTCAGTGGCATAAGTACCTGCCTGTCAAGTGAGAGGTGGTGAGTTCTAGCCCTGGTACCAAAACAAAACAAAACAAAACAATCTTCTAACAGAATTCCAGATTCCCTGCGGGTGAGACAAAGAGCTTCTCCAGGCAACCTTATTTATTTGGTTTTCAAACAAAGGAAGGGGACACTGAGGCCAGAGTGGGAACCCAGCAGGACCTTGGGAGTCAGTTCAAAGACTTCTCCAAGTATACATTTTGCCAGTTAAGAGAACCGTCTGATCTCTAAGGTTGGCAGCTCTGTTGCTCTGGAACAGAGGGTGCCAGCAGCCGGTGTCCTCGGCTGCCTCCGCTGTGGTGTCATCTTGACTTCAGGGCATTGTGAATAGGAGCTTTTCCAACACAGCCGAGGTCCCCGAGTTCAGCCCCGTCTCCATCAGGCTGAGTGCCACATGGGCTTCACAGTGAAACTGGCAGTGTGGCAGAGATGGTGGCATGAAGACCTTCCACAGGGTACAGAGTCAGGGACAGCCTGAGGGGTTCATTTCCAGACCTAAAATCCACACAGGTGCTCTTTCCTGTCGAGGGAGAGGTGCCGGGGTGGTGGTGGTCTGTGTTTTGAGATTCCTCTTCTGGTGGCCTCTGCCCGTGCACCCTCAGTATACACAGAAGAAAGGGGGACAGACACCTCTTACGGATGCAGGAAGAACTTGGGTCTGGCCAGCACAGATCCTGAAAGTATCATCAGGAGGTATCATTAGGGACATTCAGGTTAAAAAAAAAAAAAGAAAAGAAAAAAATATATATATACACACACACACCAGAGGGGGGAGAGACAGTGGGAGGAGATCACTATAAATAGGAGAAATCAGCAGCAGAGACTAAGGTCGGAATTGAGTTATGTGCAGAAACAGCAGTCTTAGGCTTTGCATTCACTTATGGCAACACAGCTTAAGGTAACAGCAGCTTATTAAGAAGAAAGATTGGGGGTCTGGAGTGTAGCTCAGTGTTAGGGTACACACTTAGCATATCAGGACCCTGGGCTCAATCTCAGGAAAGACAAAAAAAGGAAAGACAATGTGAGCACCTCACACGTAAGAGAAAATATGGAGAAGGAACTTCATAGCCAAAAACACAACTGCAGGTGAAACAGGACCCCAGAGAACTACATGCAGCTTGCTGTGGCACACACACACACATGTACATACACACATGTACACACGTACATGTACATACACACATACACACACAAACACATACACATACAAACACACATACACACACATAGAGTTGAGATCTTGAAAGTTTCTCCAAAGGTATGTGTGTGTCAAAGTCTTGGTGACCAGCCTAGGATCTTTTAGTGGATGATAGCCTTTTTAGAAGAGGGGCCCGCTAAGAAAATTAGGTTACAGCAGACGTTCTGCTCTTGAAAGGGGGATCCCAGCCCCTTCTTGTCTTTCACTTCCTGATCACCATACATAAGCAGTTTCCTCTGTCAAGCACCGTCACATGACACATCACCTCTCCACAGGTCCAAAAGCGACGAGCTCACCAACCATAGACTGAATCCTCTGAAACTGTGAGCCAAAATAAACGTTTCCTCCTGCAAGTTGTTTGTCTCTGGCATTTTGTTACAGCAAAGGAAAGCTGATTGACACATAATATATAGACATGCATCATATACATGCATATATGTACACATATGTGCACATATACCTTCATATACACACACAGGTATACACTTACAAGCACACTTTACACTTGTGTTCCTGGCAAAGGCAGAGAAATGCACCTTCACTTATATTCAGCCTTTCTTGAGTGAATTCTGGAGTTCTTTCGATAGGTATAGTTATCATCCTTCAAAATAAACATTGCAGAAATGCATACATTCTTAAGACAAATGAGAGAGAAAGTCAAAGAAATAACTATTTCAGGCAGAACAAAGAAGCTTGGGAGGTCATGACAAGACCCTAGATATCAAATATTTGCAAAGACTGTGATTATCACTGTTGAATATTTGAAGACCTAAAAGCTGTACTATAACTGGAAGATCAGGCCGGGGAAACTGAGGCTGGGGGCATTGCATATTTGCTCCTTGGTCACAGACCTGACATTCAGGCGCCAGTCCAGTCTCCATGTTTCTGGGCTAGCACTGCCTCCTCCATGCCTGCTTCCTGGGCTACTCCAGAAAACAGAACCAGGACCAGGAGACTCAGGAGGTGCCTCGGGTTCACTTACTGAAACAGGTAGCTGTGCTGCTGAGGTCTCCAGATCCAAGCACGCAGCTCGTGCTTCCTTGTGAGATGTGGTGATCTTTACAGTTGCAGGGACCTATGTGGCCCTTGAGGTTCTTGAGGTGAAGGACTACGGGAGGATGAGAAAATAAAGGCCAGACAAAGCTGGAGCCCTTATCCTCCTGATGGGAGGAAAGAAATGCTCAACCAATGTGGCTTGTTTATTTATACACCTGGAAAGGATGATGTCAATTTCAACCCTGCTGCCTAGCAACCCATCTCCCGGATTGTCTAGGGACTTCATGTTTTTCTGGGTTGTAGCACCTTCTTAATCTGGCTTGCCCCTGGTGCTCTTTGTTTTGAGGATGGTCATGCCCTGGCCATGCCACTGCTCTGCACATGTGGTCAACTTCCAGCTTCAAGGGCTCCCAGAATACAGCTGCTGACTCCCCGTAGAAACAAGTTGGAGGCTTTGCATTTCATGTGTGCAACATGCCACACCCAAGATGGTGGCAGTGTGCTTACCAGAACTTGAAGTAACTGAAAATAAAAACATTCACCCCTCAAGGACGCTTAAAGATCAGAGAGAAATCATTAAAAACAAAGGAGGGGTGGAGTGGTGGTGGGGACAGAGGGTGTGTAAGATCTGGACTGTCATAGCTACAGAACTTGCATGCGCAGTTGGTATATCTGGTAAGAGAGACGGGAAGGGTGGGGATGGTCCTCACAGGCTCCGGCAGGCATGCTCACCAAAGCAGTGCTTCTCTAAGGCCCTGCAGCCCCATGCAAAAATCTGGAAGCATAGAAAATAAAGGCATGCTCTGCTGTGAGTGAAACCAGCCAGCTTGGGTATTAGTGTGACTCAGAGATGCAGGATGTGGATTTTGGGAACCTGTCTCAGAGGAATGAGGTGGCAATCCAGCCAGCGCAGACCCAACAGACTCACTGTTACATGCTAGGGACCAAGAGGTGAAGAGGGTGTTTTTAAAAAATGAAATCTAGGCTCCAGGTATATACAGTTAATACCACCTTAGTGAATGGTCAGTCAGTTCTGCTTTTCAGGTACAAAAGGCTCATCCTCTGTGCTCCATTTTCACTTAAAATCCCTTTCCCAGGTCCCCTGGAGAATGAAAAATTAGCAATAGAACCTCCGCTCTGATGAAATAACCTTCCTCTCTTTCTGCCTCAGCAGGTACTCCGTGACTAAAACTAGGGGAAGAAAAGAAAAGAGCAGAGTTTAGTACCACTCAGCCAACCAGTTTTGGATATATTCTATGCACTACTGGGGCAGCCAAGGGGCGTGAAAATGCCCAGGATCTTCAGAAAGCCGGGTTCAGGGTGCAGGCTTTGATGTGTCACCACTATCCCCATTATGACAGCCCAGGCTCCCACGATGCCAGCCTTGGAGGAGTTCAAAGACACTGCAGCGGTTTGATCCACCTCTTCTTGCAGTTCCTCTGGAGGAGCAGGTGCCAAAGAAAACCAGCTGGTCATTCTTCTATCCACCAGAAAAGAATGCAAGATGAGTGCATGGCAGGCAGCTCAGGCAACAGCCCATAAGCCAAAGCCTCTGAAAGGCCGAGAATGCAAATGTGTTTGTTTTGTTTTGTTTTTTTCAAGGATGCAAACTTGGATGAGCCCCTCCCCTGCACATATCTGCGGTGACTGAAAATCAGACTGTCAGGGTAGAAACCGAGGCCTGCTAGACCACATACCTCCCTAACATCCCCGGGGCAAATCAGCGGGCCTTGGTCTTCCGGGGTAGTTTGCACAGGAACACAGGGGAGGGCCGGAGGGTAGAACCCACAGGACAGAAAGACTCCACCTCTCCCTGGGTGGAGCTACCAAGCAAAGGAGTAACTTTGCTGTTTTTGTTACGGAAAGCCAGCACTGGTTGGCCTGGATTTGCTAATACAATTTGACCTTTGGACCTAGAGATCATCCCAGTGATGAGCCCTCAGTGATCAATTCTAAGTCCAGGAGTTTCCTTTTCCTCTCCCTTTTTCTTTTTCTTCTTTTTAATCTAGAATTAGCCAGGCAATTTTCCTACACCTGGCAGCCTGATTGAGAGGCTGACACACAGTGAGACAGTAGAAAGGGAGAAGAGAGGAAGATCAGGGCTGGGCGGGGTCGTTGCTGCAAGTGCGGTGCCACTCAGATACCTGGGGCGGAGTCCGCCTTGCCTAATAAGCTAGCAGACATTTCCCTTGCAGTAGCACCCAAGCTGTCTGTGACTTAACTACACAGCCTCACCGCACACTCCGTTTAGCACAGAAAAGAACACGTCTGAGGAAGGGGGAAATAAGGAAAAAAATCACTAATGGGCAGGAAACTGCAGCCCTGAGCTGTTGCTTTTCGACTATACAACTGTGTCTGCATGGTTAGCTCCAGAAGGGTAGAGAGTTGGTCTGATTTGCCCACTGCTAACTGACTGATGCCCACAGCAGTACCTGACAGCCACCAGCATTCGTGAGATGAATGCCATACTGCCTGATGCCCCTGGCAAGGATGGAAGCCAGACGTGCCCAGTAGGCAGACGACGTATCCAAGGCTTCCAGGACTTCACCATGCTTGGCCTGGTTCACCAGAAGGAGGCGAGCCATGGCTACCCCCTTCTCCTTAGAAGGTCTGTCCACCCAGGAAATCATCAGTATGGCCACATCTTAGTCTGTTCCATGTTGGAAAATGGAAATGGATTTCATGCATAGGTCTGTTGGTCCATTTTATGTTGCTCTAAAAAAATACCCGAGGCTGGGTACTTTATACAGAGAAGAGGTTTCATAAGCCCACAGTTCTGGAGGGCCAAGGGCGTAGTCTCTGCCTCTGCTTGGCTCTGGTGAGGACCTTCTGACTGCATAACTTGGTGCATGGCACTGGAACAGGAGCATAAGAGGAGATCAACCAGCAACACAGCAAGTCAAAGAGAACCCACAGCCAGGTTTGCTCCTACATAACAGCGTGATAATGGGTATCCCAGAAGTCCATCCACTGTCGTCCTGGAAATCCAGTGGGGGACTGTGAGGCTTCCTGAGGGAGCCACGAGACAAGGAGCCACTTTGCATCTGACAGAGCACAAGAAGAACAGTCCCTGGGTGCCAAGATGACGGAGGGAAGAGCAGCAACCACAGGTCACGAGCAGAGGGCCAGCAGCCTCAGTTCCGAGCTTGAGCTCTCCCAGTGCTGGAGGGCGTGGCCTTCCTTCCCCACGAAGCCTGCTTCAGAAGTGCAGGACCCACAAGTGTGGAAGAGAAGCACAGTGGGAAGGAGAGGTGGGAGACAGCAGGGAGCCCGAAGTCCCCATGGCGAGGTCTCCGTGGGCCTCCCCTGGGGGAGGTGGTCCTGGCGGGCATTTCTGGAAGTCCAGGCCCTCTCCGGAGCACTCCCTTCTGTGTTCCCTGTTCTGGGGGCTGCACTCCAGGATCCACATCCTAGGCTGACCCAACTGCTGATGTCCCAGAACCAGCCTGGGCCCATCCACAGTATTGAAACCCCAAAATTAAGTATTGTAACCCAAGTGTTGTAACACTTTTTAGTCCTCCTCACAATTCATGAAGTTATGTTTATAATCCCATAGAAACATTATTGGACTCCCAGCAAGTTAATTCCAATCTACCACCTCCAATGCAACCTGTGGCAAGAATAAACACGCTAAGACATATCCAGAGTTACAGGCTCCTAAGCCTGATCCAAGGGAGGGTATACGGACAAGGCCTGGCCCAAGGCCTGTCCCAGAGTTTATTATCCTGTGAAGAAGGGGGTGGCTCCAGGATGAGGATGAGCTACCTGGAAGATGGTGGGAACTGTAACTTGAGCTGGCTAGCCAGGTGGGGAGAAAAGCATCTTTGTTATATGCAGGGAGAATGACAAGCAGAAGGATCAGTCTGCATAATTCAATGAAGGTAGCCTTTGAATAGTTTTAGGAGGCTGCTGCTTCAGTGTCTGATACATAAACTTTTGTGCCCTGGGGACTCATAGCCTCTTACTTTGAGGCTCGTACCCAGCCGACATTCTGAGCTGAGTGGCTCTGCCATCCCACTGCGCCCGGATCTTTTACAGAGAGCAGAATGCAGGAAACAGGAGGCTGTCTGATTGGCCTTAGAGATTACATATCAGTGCTTTGGCCTTATTCGCAATGCTTAGAGGCAAATGAAGGGAGAAGGGAATACTGCAGCCAGCTCTGCACGTATCAGTATATGGAATTTACCTCGTGTTGCAGGGGTTGTTCTGCATTCAAGGGGAGCCGGTCAAGTTGCCTCCTGTGCACAGGTCCTTTGGGGAGCTGTGCCCATATTCCACGCGGGTGGTGGGCAGGGCCCTGTGTCCCGCCCTGTGCAGTGGGCAGGGCAGGGAGCCTGGCCGCACTCTGAAGTCACTGTCCCTGTCTGTCCCGGCTGGACTGTGTCCCCTGTGTCTCACTCTAGCAAGGACAGCAGGTCAGGTCCCTCGCTCTCCACTGCGAGGAGCCATCGGGGGTTTTGTGCCACCTCCCTGCTGCCCGCACGCAGCCAGTGCTTCTTCACTCTCCTCTGTGTCTGTTTCCACCTCTTCTGAGCTGCTGGCCTCTGCCACTGCTTTTCCTGTTTATGGCAGCTCTGACTCTGCCTCTTCCCAAACTCTCCATTCTCTGCAGAGAGGCCGCTGAGGATCTCCACTTGCTGTGCTTGGCTTTTGTTCTTTCATCTGTTCAGTAGAATTTTATATAAATGTCACTCGAATTGGAGACTGAGTGTGTGTAGCTTAACGGTAGGACATTTACCCCAGCTTAGCATGGATGAGCCCTGGGTTTACTCTCCAGAGCCACGTACACACACATGCACACTCAGTTTCCTTCTCTCTGCCAGTTTCCACGCTCCTCGTCCATCCAAGATTTCTCACATCATTTTGTTATGAGGTCGGTGTACCTCTTATTCTAGTGGTCCTTCTGCAGTAACTGTTCCATGACCTCTGCAATTTGGTTATTTTTGTTTTCTTTCTTTCTTTTTTTTTTTTTTTTAATCAGTACCGGGAATCGGACTCATGACCATGTGCTTACAAGACAGGTGCATATGCCGCTGTGCTAAATCCCCAGCCACCTATTTTTGTTTCCTTAAGTCTATTGGAATTTTAGGCTTTGTCTTTACTCATTTAACTTATTGCAGGATATTCCTGCTTTTGAAAGTTTTCTAAAATTGTCTATAAAAATGTGATTTTCCAGTAAGTTCTGGCTTTCTGATAGCTTATCTTGTTTTATCTTGCTTTATTTTATACTCTTCCCTCAACATGCTCTTTGACTTTATTGGCCAAAGTCAGAAGTGGATTTTCTCCTGGGATCTGATTCTCTTTCGTTAAGTCCTCCTTTAAAATTAAAAGCAATGTAAGTAGATATCAATATGTTGTGGGACATTTTTCTTTAAATAATTTACAGCTTCTAGCATTGAGTACTGATTTGGAAAAGTCTAAAAGACCCATGATCTCCTAGGTAAAAACGACTTGATCTTTTTTCTAGATTTCCCAAGCGAGGTTCAGGAAGTTGGTGCCACGAAAGCTAGGATTTGAATTTCTGTTTCTCCTTCTTTTGTGGTGATTTCTAAGAGGAGAAGTAATTAATCACTAAAAAGGAAGAGGCAAACCTGAGTGTGATGGCACACGCCTGTAATTCCAACATTCTGGGAGGCTGAGGCAGGGGGTCATAGGTTCAAGCCCAGCCTTAGAGTCGTAGCAAGACCTGTCTCAAAATGAAAAGTAACCTAAGAAAAGAGGTAGGATATAACTCAGTGTCAATGCTCTGGGATCAATCCCCAGCAGGAGAAAAGAAATGAAGGGAGGAAGGTTGGGGAGTAAAGGGGGAAAGAAGGGAAGAGAGAAAGAAAGGAAGAAAAGAGAGACACAGAGTGTAGGACAGAGGAAGGGAAGGGGGAGGGAGGGAGGAGGCACCAGGGCCGCTACTTCTCAAGAATGCAAAGCTAATTCAGAGTGGGAGCTTCTCCAGGTCCCACAGTACCCAAAGGGGCAGGGTCCAGGGCCTGGGCAGGAGGAGAGTTTCTTTGTACTTAATCTGCAGAGAAAACCTACTTTGGGTTAGAAATGCTGGTCATTTGCTTTTGTTTCTAGCCACCTTGTATTTGTGGCATTTTATTTACTCAAAGAGCAGCGCCTGCTTGCTTGTGCTTAGTTTTAGGCAATGGGGGAGAGGGAAAGGGCGATGCGTGGGGGCTGTTAGCCAGCTTTTGGCCACGGGTGATTTGGCCAAGCAAATCCTTTTATAAGGAGGGGAGGTTTACTCTGGCTTCTAACTGTGGAGGTTTCTGTCCTTGTCGCATGGCCCTATAGGATGAGCAATATGAGAGGTGGGAGCTTGTTAGTCACCAGGAAGTAATCGTGGGCTAGTGGGCTCCGCACCTGAGGCTCCCCTCCAGGCCAGCATCCCCACTGTGCCCCAGCTCCCTTTCAGGGCCCTGCTTCCTAATGCTCCATGACTCCTGCCCCAACAAAGCCTTGAACACAGGAGACTTGGGGCCCTTCCAGTCCTAGAGGCTCAGACTTCCCACCACTCAGGGGTCAGAGCCAGCAGGAAAGGGCTGCAAGGCCGTAACTAACCTAAGC